AAGAAAGCATCGCTGTCAGCGAGCCTTTCGGATACCCGCAGCATCGCTCTCATACTTATTTTTATTTTCTATTTTTTGACTCCCAACCCTCTCGTAAACAAGCCGCCAGTCCTCCCCTGCCCCCCAGAGGCAGGCACCCCCGCAGCGCCCCGTCCATAGGCAGAGTGAGCTCCTGCCTTCTCTTCCCCTGCCCGTTTCAGGGGGTCTGGTAGGCAAGACCGAGGGGTGGTAAAGAAAAACAGCACGCTCTCATACTTATTTTTATTTTCTATTTTTTGACTCCCAACCCTCTCGTAAACAAGCCGCCAGTCCTCCCCTGCCCCCCAGAGGCAGGCACCCCCGCAGCGCCCCGTCCATAGGCAGAGTGAGCTCCTGCCTTCTCTTCCCCTGCCCGTTTCAGGGGGTCTGGTAGGCAAGACCGAGGGGTGGTAAAGAAAAACAGCAATGCAAACATATTACAAAGAAGAAAACAAGCGCTCTGTATTTTGAGAGACTATTTAATCCAAGATAAACGTAATTTTGTTTAAATAAAATATATTAACTTGAATTAATAATACAGGAAACTAGAGTGAATTAATAATGCACGTATTCCTGGTCTCGTGGTTAAACACTTCCTTGTAAGAATACTGTATTAACCCTGTTTGGCCAAACAGCTCGCTATTTCTCAAATACCATCCAGTGATTTCAGGAGGAGCTACGTCCTCTCCCCGAGTCCACCCTTCCCCAGAGACTTTAAGCAGGATTTGCTAGCTGGACATCAAAATCCCTTGAAGAAGAAATGCTAAGACTAGAGAAAGGTTAGCGAGCAAAATCCGGGGTAATTCCAAACGCGACGGTATTATGAACCGATAATTTTTAATCCCGGAAACATCCATGATATTAAATTGTGCACAAATAGGCTTTACCAGGGTCTGGCACTTTTTCCCTCGGCCAGTAATAAGTGTTAAATAATGTGGAAAGGAAGGGTGACATTGCTTTATATATGGTTTGCAAATAAGAAAGGCCTTTTTACCCTCCCCTGCCTTTTCCTCCCCACGAACAGGTGGTCTTAATCAGAGCCCTTAGCACGATCTAATGGGAAAGTGGGGACCTTTCTGATATAATAAATTTATGAGCCCTTCCAAGTCAGCTTTATTCGACTAAGTATTTATAAACGTAATATCCACATATGCTCCCTGACATGGTAACTTTTACTTCCTCCACCGAGAAACAAATGGTTATTTTCTTAACCATCAATTATGAACCCGGATTATTGTAGTACACGCAAAATTTCCTGCCTCGTTACCGTATCAGCCGGTCTGGTTTTTAGCCGTCGGGCTGCAGGGAAAATTGCTATCTAAACACCTTTAATGCCATTAATTAAAATACATAAGTCTGAGCCGAAGAAGCAACTCAGGGTTGCCTGACCATTACAGCCTTCCCATTTTACGGGGAAGGGAAGCACGAAACGACTGCGGATGCAGAGATATCCCTGTAGATGTGCGGAGATACCCCTGTATATGTGGGGATGATCCCTGTGTGCAGTCCCAGCTCGTGTATCTTTGCGACGGATAATGTCAAGTCCTGAAACACGCTGAGTTGCTCGGGAGACTCGTTGTAAATAGTAGAAATCACGGTTGTTTTCTCGTCATTCTGGCGGGTTTTCTTGAGGTCTTGGCTTTGGTTTCCTTTTAATTGCGCGGAGCACGTTGAGTTTTGTCTCATCTGACCGTCAGGACGTCGTGCTTTATGTGATTTACCTCGCAAAATGTCTGGTCCTTGGGGCGGGCTGGGTGGAAAGCAGGGGAGTGGAGCGGGGGTTATTTGGAACGTTCTGTCAGAGTTCAGTTTCGGAAATTACGAGGGCGGTGAGGTCATTTTGCCAGTTAAGTACCACCGGTGGGTACAAGGAGAATAATCGCTAACTAGTACCACTGGAAATAATAGTAAAAAATGCGAATGTTTGGTCAAATGGATGCTTTCGTGAAAGGAGGAAACGAAATTCGGCAGGAGACGCTCCAAAATGACCCGGCGAGCCGCGTTCCCGCGGAGAATGAGGTGCAGGAAGGGATATTCCAAAAGAAACGGGTCTGTGGGCACGGCAGGGAAAGGAAAACGGGAAAGTATAGAAATCTTACTGCAGCCTAGAGCGCCAAAAGCGGCCCCGCGGGTGTCGTGTTTTCGCAGAGAGACGGGAAAATCCCTGCTGGGTGACCAACCCCACGAAATTAGGAAAACTTCAGCACACGCTTCGACAGCCCCACAGCGCGTGTAAATGGTCCTTGGTGGGTTTTATTCGAACATTTTTAATGCAGAGCGGGAGGATGCTGAAACTGTTTGTGTGTGTGTACGTGTGCTTATATATAATCCATACCATTTGTTACAATTTGCGTGAATTCTACTTAAGAAATCCTTTCCTGTAATCGATAATATGGGTATTGCTGAAACAGCAGTCTCAAGATAAAACCTTTACATTACGTTCCGCCTGATATAATCATTTAGCATCACAAATTGATTGCTTCAACTCTTTAAAAAATAATCTTTGGTCTGAATAGTCAGTAACTTAACATCTCTAAAAAAAAAAACAAAAAAAAAAAACCAAAAACACCCCCCCACACACACACACACCCAAAAAAACCCAAGAAAAAAAAAACCAAAACCCAAATAACTAACAACCCACAAACAAACAAACAGAAAACACGCACCAAAAAAATTAAAACCAACAGTCCTGATTCAGCGTTCTGTCCGGATCAGCTGAAGACACGACAGGGTGCAAAGCAAAGGTCCCCGGTGCCTTTTTTGAGCCGCGGGACGAGGTGGGCGCGCAGCCACCGCCCCTGCGGGAGGGAGCGGCTGCGGGGGGGCGAGGCGAGGGCGGAGAGGGGGC